TATATTAACTATTGTTAATAGGTTTATTATTAAGAGTTACTAGGCCTAGAAATCTATTATAGTAAAGGAATCTAATACTAGATTAAAAAAAGGGCTTATATCCTTATTAGCCTAATTAGAATTCCCTTTATACTACTACTAAGAATTAAAAAGTAAAATTCTTATAATTCTTATATATAAATCTCTTTATAACTTTATAACTAAAAGTCCTATAAATATATAGTTATTTTTTCTAGATTCTTCTTGAAAAATAACCTATAAAAGTATATATTACTATATATAACTATACTAATACAAACTACTGCAAACTAATGCAGTCTACTGCATATAAACGCATATACTTCTAAGCATTACATATACCGGCGCTTATGCTTATCTATGGGCATATACGGGCATATATATACATATACGAGAAACTATAAGTACCTCTCGGCGCTTAGATATACGCTTAGATATACACTTAGATACTATACGTATCTAAGGGACTTTCTATATAACTAAGAGATATCCCCTCTACTTAGACAGTTTTTAACAACAACGAGAAAAAACGATACCTTAACGGTTAATATATATATATACCTTTTCTGTCTACCTTTATTCTTCTCTACTTTTCCTTGTGACTATTTATGAATAACCCCCTGTTATTCTTACTCTACTAATAGCCTAAGCTTAAGTCTTTGCTTTTACTTCTCTTAGTAGTTCTAAAGCTAGGAATCCTAGGACTAGTCTTAGACTTAGTGTTTATATTATCGTTAAGGCCTTAGTAACTCTAGAAAGCTTTACTAGTAAATAAAGTAACTTAATTAGTTAAACCTCTAAGTTACTTTATATTAATTATTAATAAGGTTAGCTTAAATATATTACTAATATCTTAGTAAACTAGTTATAAGAAATATAAATAGTATTAATTACTTTAAATTAATCTTAAGGTATTATATATAAAATCTCTTTAAAGTTACTACTTTACTTAATCTATTAACCTAATTAGACTTAAAAGTAGTATTTTATATATTTTTATAAAGTATTAGTTTATTATATCCTTAATTAAGTTTTTAAAAAAGATACTTATTAAGTCTAAGCTAATCCTAAAAGAACATTAAATTTCTATTACTACTAATTTATTAACGCTAAAACGTTTAGTCTTTATTAATAATATAATATTAAACCTAATTAAACTAAGGCTTATATAATAATAAGATTTTAAGAAGTTCTAGGCTTAGTTTATAGTTATAATTATTTTATAACTTATACTAAAAGAGCTTTTTAGCTTATTAATTTTAATAAAAAGTATTATTTTTATTTTATTATTTTTTTTTTCTTTTATATCTTATAGGCTTTTTTCTTTAATTAGGTTTACTTAGTATTTACTTATAAAAGGATTACTTATATAAAAGGTTTATTTAGCTATATTATATTATTATAACTAATTATTTATTTTTTTGTTTTTTTAAAGAATTCTATTTTTCTTAAGTCTTATTTATTATAGTTTTTTAAAGTTAAGTTTACTTTTATATCTAGGACTAAGTCTAATTAGGTTAAAAATATTATTTCTTTTATATTTTTTTAATAATATATTTTATTAATTAAAGCTATTTTTAAAGTATTAATATTAGATTTATTATATAATTAAAATAAAAAAATAAAAAGATTAGTAGTTTAATTCTATTATAAAGCACTATTAAAACTATATAAGATAAAAGAAACTAATAAGTAAATAATTAATATATAAACTACACTAAACACTAAGGTCCTAGTATTATTATAAGTATACTTAAAGTAACTAATTACCTTAAGTAATTACTTTAACGCTTAGACTATAAGATACTACTTTTTTCAGGTCCTCCTTAGCCTAATTAAGGCTATAAATAAACCAGAAAAGTATATTCTTTACGTTTTATAATTTATTTAGATTTACTTTTATTACTAAGTAGTATATATATATATGTTATAATCTCTGGAGGAGGATACTCTCCTAGACCTTAGAGGTCTAGTTAGGCCTAAAGAAACAAAGTAATAGTTACTTATTATACGTATTATTTAGATATCAAAGTAATGAATTCATTTATGTTTGTCTAAGTGCCTATCTAAAGATGTTAAGCTTGTCTGTCTGCTTTGTAATGATATCCTGATCTCTGTGATAGTATCTGACTAGAGTCCTTTTTTGTACTTGGAAGGGTCCTGCTTAGTCACGTCTGATCAGGCCTGTGATTGTGTCTGCAGGCTGATAAAAGGAAAAATGAAAACGCAAAACCCTGCCCCTTTCCAGTATATAAGTTAAAGTATATTCTAAGTATCTTTTTAGTGATAGCCTTAATATATAGGCTTTTAATTGTTTTACCTTTTAATGTTTTTAGCTATAGGTTATACTTTAAAAACCCTTTTATTTATTGCTTACTAAGGGGTCTAGTGTTGTTGCTAGTAGCTAATATCTAGGCTGTAAAAGCGTGTAGTTGGGTGTGCGTTAGAGTAAGGCTAAGAGTGCCTTGGGTTAAGGCCTAGTTAACTAAGTGGCTTTTTTGTATAAGCGATAGTTGCTGTAGATGTTCACTAGATACCCTTTTAGGCGTATAGCTTTTTATTTGTGAAGAGATAGTTGTTATAAGTATTCCTTAGGTATAAGATGCTTGTTATAAGCTTATTTTACCTTTAATATCCTATAGAGCTTGTTGAATATTGTGTTTAGTATATTTTGGTATAGTGATAATACTAGTATTTTTTAAATAATTAATATTTGATGTTGTAGTTGGATGTGTTGGTGATATTGTTTGTATAGGTAGGATGTGTAGTGGCGAAATTTCTGTACGAAATGAGGGGGTGTACGAAATGGGGGTGCCCGGACTTACTCAGTGGAGAAAGGCCAAGTCATAAAGGCCAGCTGGCCCCGGCTGTCCAAACACCCCGCCCAGCTGCGACAGCCAACACCCCCACCATTCGGCAGAAGACGGCACCGACGGAAGCCGGAAACAGCGACAACGTCAACGAACCCCAAACCGTGGCGGCAAGCTTCCTGTCATACAAAGCCTCCTGCCTCGACCTGCGGACTGCCTTCAGTGCCTCCCGTCAATACCCTCCAGCGACCAATTCTCTCTGGGACCGACACTACATAAGTAGCCCATCCGACACCGAAACCTACAAACACGCGAACCAAGCCGACCCCTCCCCCGCAAATCGTAATGGAAGACGTCCCGCTCGAGCACGGCTCCCCGGAGCACCTCCTCCCGCCCAGCTGGAAGACCCAGGTCACCGCCTGGCTGGCCGAGGACACGCCCACCTTCGATTACGGCGGCTTCGTCGTCGGCAACGACCCGCGGACGGCGACGCTGTGGGGGAAATCCGGCGGCATCGTCGCGGGGCGGCCGTTTGTCGACGAGGTCTTTGCGCAGTGCGGCTGCGCCGTCGAGTGGCACGTCAAGGAGGGGTCGCACGTCGAGCTGCGCGGCCACGGCGGCGCCCCCAAGGGCAAGATGCGCGTCGCGACCGTCACGGGCCCCACGCGGGGGATCCTGCTGGGTGAGCGGGTGGCGCTGAACACCCTGGCGCGGTGCTCGGGTGTGGCGAGCATGACGAGGGGCATGTTGGTGAACCTCCGCGCGGCGGGGTATGCGGGCATCCTTGCCGGAACGCGCAAGACGACGCCCGGGTTTCGGCTGGTGGAGAAGTACGGCATGCTCATCGGCGGCGCGGACGCGCACAGGATGGACCTGAGCTCGATGATCATGCTCAAGGACAACCACGTCTGGAGCAAGGGGAGCATCACCAACGCCGTCAAGGCGGCCAAGAGCGTGGGCGGGTTCAGCCTGAAGGTCGAGGTCGAGGTGCAGAGCGAGGAGGAGGCGGACGAGGCGATTGCGGCGGGCGCCGACGTTGTGATGCTGGACAACTTCACCGGCGAGGGCGTCAAGGTCGCCGCGAAGAGCCTGAAGGAGAAGTGGGCGGGGAAGAAGCACTTTTTGGTCGAGGTCTCGGGCGGGTTGACGTTGGACAACGTGGAGAACTACGTGTGCAATGGTGAGTCTCTGCGGTTTGTGTTGTTGAGCTGGGTTGAGCCCGGAATGCTGACTGGAGCGCAGACGTGGACATCCTTTCAACGAGCGCCATCCACCAGGGTGTTCCGCATGTCGACTTTTCGCTCAAGGTTGAGCACTAGCCGTAGCGGTTGTAATCGATATGTGAAGCCAATGCTCGCTCCCGTGATCTCTACGTGGCACTCCTGATTGTTTACCGTTGTGACATGCTTGCTAGCCAAATGACCTGGCGACTTGAGTTCGGAGGGACCATTCCATTCAGACGCCTTTAAAGTGGCTTGCAGGGGCCCTTCTATAAGCTAGTGATACCCTGTTTGTTGTCCATCGGCTACGCGAATCACCTCTATCGCTGGGACTTACCCCTACGCCTCTTGTTGATGGGCATATGTCGACCGTTGAGAAGGCGAAGATTCGTGTTCTTGTCAATTTAGATAGCGAACCCTCAGAGAATCCGATGATGCATCCTAGAACACAGATTTGCGGAAAGCTCCTCGGCATCATGACCTCGCTCCTTTTTCTCCATGATACAGCAAAACACGAGAACCGGCGTTCAACAGTTGTCTCTTTGTCTCACGCCGACTGCCATTCAGATCCATCTTGGCTGCATCGTTCAACCCCCCTACGTAAGTGCTTTATCCCATTCTCTAGCCGCAAACCTAGAAATGTATATTGTTTACCAAATATTTCAATTAAGAACACAATGTTGCGTCAAATATGTGCACGCATTTCCAGCCTCGTCGATGTCTCCTGCAACGGCAAACCCATTTCATGGACGTAAGTCCCACAAGCAAGTGTAGGGCAGCATGAAAAAATCTAGTTCAACTATAATGCTGTTTCTAGGCAATGTTGCAAAGCTCATGCATCGGCTTTCATCAGAACGCTCAGGATGTCATTCGTCTCACTCCAAGTCGACCTCTGAGATACATCGTTTCCACACACCTTCAAGGCCGACTTTCCACAAGTCCCTCTCCCACCTTATGACTGCTCCTCTGCCTCGAGCAGCCCCTTGGCCATGTCCCTCAGCTTGAACTTTTGAATCTTCCCGCTCGGCGTCTTGGGGTACTCGTCGACCCAAAACACATGCTTCGGCACAAGATGGCTCGACAAGTGCTCCCGCACCCACTGCTGGATCTCCCCCTTCGTGATGGCCTTTTCTCCGTCCCCCTTCCCGTCCACGGTCCACCCCTTCCGCGCAACGACGAAGGCGGCGACGCTCTCCCCGAGCTTCTCGTCCGGCACGCCCACCACGGCGGCCTCCTTGACGCCGTCCATCTGAAACAGGCAGTTCTCCACCTCCAGCGGGTGAATGTTCTCCCCCGCGCGGATGATGAGGTCTTTGATGCGCCCCGTGATCTCGACGTACCCCTCCTCGTCCATGCACGCTTCGTCGCCCGAGTACATCCACACCCGCCCGTCCTCCTCAGCCTGCCGGACCTCCCTCGTCTTCTCCTCGTCGCCCCAGTACCCCTTCATCACGAGGTACCCCGCCGCCGCCAGTTCCCCCCTCTCCCCTCTCGGCACGATCCGCCCCCTGTCCAGCGGGTCGACAATCTTGACGGCCGTGTGCGGCATCACCCGCCCCACGCTCCCCGTCCGCTTCTCGAACGCGTCGTCCGGCGCCGTCATGCAGCTCACGGGGCTCGTCTCCGTCATCCCGTAGCAGATGACCAGGTCCCGCAGCCCCAGCGTCTCGTACAGCCTCCGCATAAGGCTCTCGGGCACCGAGCTCCCCGCCGCGATCCCCTTGCGCAGCCCCTTGGGCATGTCCTCGGGTCTCGCCACATTTCCCGCCGCCAGCGCCTCCATCACCGCCACGAACATGGTCGACACCCCGTACAGCCCCGTCGCATCGTAATCCGCTACCATCTTCACCGTCGCCGCCGGGTCGAACGCTGGGCTCGGGAACAGGATCCCCGCCCCGGACGTCGCCGTCGCCATGTACCCCAGCACGCACCCGAAGCAGTGGAAAAGCGGCGGCGGCACGACGATCCTGTCCCCCGGCACGAGCCCCATCCGCTTGGCGATCAGGTAGCCGTTGTTCAGGATGCCCGTGTGCGTCAGCATCGCCGCCTTGGGCTGCGACGTCGTCCCGGACGTGAACTGAATGTTGATCGTCTCCGACGGTTCCAGCGGCGCGTCCGGCACAATAGGCCTGTCTGAGCCCTCCAGCAACGCCTCGTAAGGCGTCAGCGCCCTGAACGCGGGGAAGTCCACCATCGGGTGCGAGGCCGCGTTGTCCAGCACCACGACGGTCTTGAGGCTCGGCACCTGCTCACTCTCTACCTTGCCCTTGTCCAAATCTGGTACCAGCGTCCGTAGGAGGTCGAGGTTGCTTCGCCCACGGCACGGCTTGTACGGCAGGTCCGTGACCTTGCCAATGACGAGGACCTCGACGCCGAGGTGCCGCAGCGCCGCGCCGACCTGCTTCGCGTTGAACCCCGGGTTCAGCGGGACTAGCACGACGCCGAGCTTGAAGGCGGCGTAGGTCAGGGCAGCAAACTCAGCGCCGTTGCCGAGGGACACGGCGAGGCGGTCACCCTTGCGAAGGCCGAGGGCGCGGAGGGACGAGGCGAGGGTGTTGGAGAGGGCATCGAGTGAGGCGTATGTCAGGGTCGTGGTTGAGGCCGGCGGCAGAGGGGCCGATGTGGAGGTTGGCGAGGAGGTGAGGGCGGTGGGCGCGCGCGCAATGACGGCGGGGAGGTCGCCGTGCAGGGAGACAATCTGGGAGAAGTGTTCCGGGATGGTTTGTGTGAGGAGCGGGGGCTAGATGGGTGTCAGCATGTTTGGGTTGGTGTTGGGCCGGTGAGATCAAGTGAAGCAATGAGTCTATAGAAGCTCCAGTGGCAAGTTACATGCTCAGTTGAGCTCGGCTCATCTCCTCAAAGGCTTCTCACCGGCAGAGGAGTAACATACCTCACTCGGGCCCTGGCTGAAACTCAACCCTTCATAGCCGGAAGAGAGCTTCCTCCGCTGCGATACCACACCAGCGGCTGTCCGGCACTTTGTCCACGCCGAGGTCCTCCGCGCCGTGAGGCCGGTCGCTAGACGTGTGCAGACCATTGAAGACATCGTCATACACCCGCGCTCAACCTCGGCTTGGGACGTGGGGCTCGCAACGTGAATCAAGCTGCAACGCGAAACTTCGAATCCGATAAACGTAGGTGGTATTTGGTCCCCTGTGATGTTATCATGGCTCGCTTCTCAATGTTTCAACCTCCGGCTTGAGAGCTCTTTGTGCAATTGCTCGTCAAAGTTTCGGTCTCTCACCGGTAGGACGAGAGGGGGGAGGGTGGGGAGGTTGGCCTTGAAGTGACCGATGTCTCTGAGCCTCCGCGTCTGGCCGTTTAGCTCCCGTCACCCCGAACCGAGTCGGGGTACACGCCTTGGCAGAGGGGGGGAAGGGAGCTCCCCTACAGCTGAGATGTCAAAATGCGGAGAACCCGTGCGGGGTTGCACCCGCTGCGCGACAGGGAACAACTCCCTTAAAAAGGCGCCGCGGGTGGGAAACACCGTGAAAGGATGACGCGCCGTGTCACACCCATCCAGTTTCGAGGACGTGGCATGCATTCAATCGTGTCAGAACTCTGTCCTCAAGTCGGAAGCGTCGGCAACGCAACACAACGCAACGATTGAATACCGCGCAAGGTGCCGAAGGACGTCCTCCCTGACTCGAACGGGGGGAAATCAATTGCAAGATGAGGGTGAACTCTGCCAACTCCTGGTCGAGGGCTTTCAAGAGATGAACTTTCAGAATCGCTTCATTGCCTTCAAACTGCTTTGGGGTATATGTACCACGATGCTAACGGGAACTGCAGCTGATCACCATCCCACCGCTCGCGCCGCCTAGACTCCGAGCTCCTCCGAGACCAGCATGTGGCCTCGTCACTCCATTCCAAACTCTGTCCGTGAGGGGCTTTCCTCTTCTGTATGTATGTCAAATAATGTAACAAGACTCTCTCTATGCCAAAAAAGCTCTATACTCTTGCGGTTTTCGTAGGTATGCGGTTCGTGTGTGATTCCTCCCATTGGTGCCAAACAAAGACGACTCGATGAGTCGGAACGGGATTTCTGAAACATGCCCAACCTGTGACATGTGCGTGAGGACGCCGCCCGAGATGCAAATATTAAAAAGATATGTGCCGAAGAAGAATCGTACCGTCACCATCGTACATCGACAAAGTGTCTATGAGTCTTCGTTCTGCTCGCCAATGTGGCGGAGCTCTTCGGGCTTCCAAGTACCTAGCAGGCATTAGTCAAAGTTACACGCAGACCGGGTTCTTCAAAGCTCACCCTCAAAGTCGTGTTTGACAAAGGCCATGGGATCGTCGTAGTCCTTGGCGCCCATTTGTTGGACGCCGGGGCTGAAGCTGGTGATGGGGAGTACCACAACATCGCCCACCTTCTTGGACGTCTCCATGCCCGTGAAGTTCCTCCAGTCGATGAGGCCCTTGGATTTCTTCATGTCAAAGTAACGGGGGTCGTTAAAGTAGTCGAAAATAGTGTCTGTCCAGACAGCGGGGCCAGTGAACTCGACGACGTTCTTGTCGAGGATGCTGCCCAGCTCGCCTGATTTGTTTCGCTTCAGAGTTTCCTCGGTGATGCGGACGACAATGTCACGCAGGACGGGGTGGCCAGGCTTGGACTGGATGGTCCACTGGCAGAACTGGATGCGGCGACTGTACCAATCCTTCCAGTCAGGGCGGTCAGGGTCCGCCTCAATGCCAATAACGAGACCGACGCTCTCTCGCGGGATGCGCTCGGGGATCCACTCGAGAGCGGAGCGGATGGCGTAGGTATCAATGTCGGAGTAGATGCCACCTCGCGCGAGCAGGATCAGGTATCGGAAGAAGTCCGCCTTGAGGACGGGTAGGGGAAGGGCGTCGTAGGCCTTGAGGACCTCGGGACGGACGCGTAAAGGAGGCGCAGCAGGTTGACGGCGATCTTGTCGGTGATGACCTCGTGGACAAACCCAGGGTGCTGCTCGGTCCAGCTAGCCTCCTGCTCGCGGAAGTTGAACTCTTGGTCGGCGGGCGTCCACTTCCACGTCTGCCAGATGTAGGCCGGGAAGCGCGTCTCGGGGTCGTAGGGGTATTGGTATGCCAGCTTGTCGTACAGCGACATCTTGGACATGTCCATCATGGGCTTCTGTGTCGCAACCTTGGGCGCAGAGGGCCTAATCTCATCGCCGGCCGAGGCAGGGGTGTTTGAGGACTTTTTGGGGCGTGTCGTGTCAAGGTCGGAGGCAGCGACGGGTGCGTTCGCGACAGCCGATGTGTCGTGGGAGGAGGATATTAGGTAGAAGACGATCAGAAGGAACGCGGCCACCGCCACGGCTCTCCGAGGAGTAAGCATTGTGAGTTGTGTAAAAGAGTGTTGACTTGGGATGTTTCAATTGGCGACTACGAAGTCATTGAGAAACGAGTCTTATCTTGATCGAATCGTGAGTGGGACGGCGAAAAGAATGGTCGACAGAGGTAGAAACGAACGCGAGGTGGTTCCTAGGTGACAGAAAATCGAGGGCGTCGAATCAGGGGGTTTAAAGGCGGGAGGGCCGTGGAAGCTCAAAAGCTCTGACTAGGTCTATGGCTCAGTGATTCCTGCTGGGAAACTGAGCTAGATCATGTCAGTTTGGAAATGATTAGGACAATGGGGTAAGAGCCAGCAGGTTTAGGCGCGATGCAAAGAGATAAACGACGGCGGGTGGGTAGGGCTAGCAGGTAGATGAGGTCTTTCGGGTCTGGGCTGGAGGAAACATGGCGAAAGGGGGAGGGGAGCTTGTCAAGGTTTTGGCAGTGAAGGGATGAGCTAGTAGCGGATAAAGAGGGCGTGGGGCCTGGGGGCGTAATGACAGACGAGGAACATACCTCCAGGGGATGGGCCGTTGGTTTGTTGGTTCTTGAGGAGGAGCTGAATAAAGTTCCGATAATCGATCTGAGTTGCCAAGGTGCGAGAGCGAGAGGAAGTCGACGTCAGAAGTCGAATTGTGGCAGAGACGGAGTTGCTGACTATCTTCTGTCGTCTGTCCGCCTTGGGATCGAATGAGTCGGGAGAGGAACGGTTGGCGAGAAGTACTGGGTAACGTTTTTCTTCTCGTGTTGACGGGTTTCCGTTGGTTGGATGACGAATCTTTTTTCTGTTCCTTTTTTTTTTTTTTGTCGTTTTTAGTTTTTCGTACTTTATTTTATTTTTATCTTGTTTTTGCTCTTCTTCCGGATGGGGGCCGGCGCGGCGAAGGCGATGCGGCTGTTGTTGCTGCGGCTGCGGCTGGAGGCCACGACTTGGATGGCGGTGGAGTGTCTGGTTACGTATAGAACGCCGAAAGAAAAAAATAAAAAAGTTGGATGGTAGGCAGGCTGTGCAGTGTGCAGCGTTGCGCGTGCCGATACCGAAGGGGGGCCCAATTAAGATAAGGCGCACTAAGCTGGGCGTGGAGGTATATCGTAAAGGCTAAGAGATCGAGACTCAGACTAAACGAATTGCTCGGTGCCGAATAAAAGGTTGGAATTCTATCCGATTACAGCAAGGTATGCGCAGTGCAACACACGCAATACGATACGAACCAAAGGGGGCGGCTCCGTGCTTGTGATTATGTACGGCGAAAAGCTGCAACCCTCGAGAAAGGCATCGGACGAGAGGTGGGATGAGACTTGGCACAGGGCGAGTCTTTAATACCTGGTGCATCAAGGGAGGGGAAAAAACCCCGGAAGAAGCAACCGGGGCCAAACGGGAGCCATAGGAACAATTGCGATGGGGGAATTGAATGATTCGCAATCCCAAAAGTCGCTGTCGAGTGGCCCCCTCCCTCCTATTTCCCACCCTGTGCGGCGTGTCTATGACCGGTGTTCATGTTCCTCTTCCCTGTCTGTCGATGCCCCCACGGTGGATACGCGGCCTATGTACACCAATTGCAAAGTACATACTGGCTCCCTCGCGGACTCTGCGCCGCGACAAGGGACCTCCACGTTGCATCTTCTCTCGAGTCTTCGCCCCCGTGAGACTCCGGGCTTCCGTGTCTGGTCCGCATCTCGCTGGAGCGACGCTACTGCGCGAGGTGCTTCCGGCCGCCGCGCGATCGTCTCTGGTGCGGATGCTACCCAGTAGCGAGGCGGCGGAACAACACGCTTTGCTTTGGCACAGGGGCAACAAGGGGGGGGGGGATGAATGGACTTCGGCGCCGCTGCTGACGGGACACCGATGCTGATGCCGCTGCCGATACTGGCATTGGGGCTGGCTGATCCACGACACGACCTGTTGGACTTGTCAGACTTGGCATCAAGCAGGAGACCTGCCACCAGAGATGCCAAGCGAAAAAACGGACAGGACAAGACTGGTGAGACAGCGTGAGCAATGATGCCCAAAGAAGAAGGAAAAAAAGATGGAAAAAGGGGTCTTTCCTCCCCGCCGTCTCTGGAGACCAGACGAGCCTGGAAGTGCACCTTCTCAAGCGAGCAATGGACACAGCCTGGCACGAAACAGTGCACCAAAAAGATGGAGAGTGAATGCGTATCTGCAGAGCCTGAAGATTTCAGACTGATCGATGCTCGGGTGACGCTGCCGAAGGGGAGCATCAATGTCCAGCAGACGACGACGGCTAAAGAGAAACAGGGAGCGGTCCGAAGCAGAGGAAGGACCCATCTTGACATTTTGACTGGTCGAACCCGACGTCGTCGTCTCGCTCGAGTCTCGTATCGTGTCAAATGCACGGCTAGCCTGCCCTGTGCCGACAGCCCGGGACTTACTCAGATAGGCCAAAAAAATTCTTGCAGGAGTCTCTGTCCCGTATCACCGTACCACGGCATAGTGGGGATACATCTTTTCCGCTATCGCCACTAACACTCATTGCAGTGCTCTTCTAAGCCTAGTTCTGGACAATATCCGACATTCCAACACGAACGCCAGGCGCCCGCCAGAACTCTATCCATCATTCAACCAGAGTCGAGATGGGAATCTGCTCAACTGCTGGCCTCTGCGGGGTTCGTCTCGCCGAGTCAATGCCAATGCAGGGAGAGGGAGACGAATGCCTGCATGATTACTGCGTACGTGCTGTGGACCACCACAGCAGGTGAGTCGTACGTAGGTGCAGGTGGTATGTGCCTGCCTATCTTTTCGCGCATCCTCCACGTGTCGTCACTCAATCCAGGCCGACAAGGTACGTACCCCCCTTTGGATTTCGCTTGTGATTCTGGGCCAGGGCCTCAGCAAGCTTCTGGTAATTGGCAGAGTGGGGTTCCACGCCCATCCCAATCGGCGTGTATCCATCTCGTCGTCTGGAGAAGCGGGCGCGTTGAGAACAGTTGGAACCACCCATCAAGGAACAGAATCATATTCTGTGGAAACTCATGTTGGTGATGGAGCGAAAGCCAGACCGAACTGGATGGAGATCCCCCGAGCCATCACGACATCAGATAAATTGGTGCGTTTCAGAAGGGAGTACCCTGGATGGGGTCTTTCCCAAAATAGGTATGTATCTGCAGGTCGGTCCCCGTCTCTGATAGGACTGCAGGGAGGGAGGGAGAAAGAGATCGTGCCGGTCTGGCCGGTCCTCGTTCCTTCCTACGATGGCACACTACACTGCACTTCCCAGTTGTCCCAGGAGACCGTCACACGTCACGCACGCACTGCCGTGACTTCCACCGCTGGCTCTGGGACAAGACAGCTTCACTTCTGTCGCGCCTTCCACGGGTGAGTCTCGCCGCTGGCGGTCACTGCCTCCCACCCCCGGCGTTGCCTCTCCCTCGCCGTGAATTCTCTGCCGGCCCAGGCGGTGGTCCATTCAATTCCGGTCCAATGACGTGCCGTTCTCAACCCCACCCTCGTCGTCCGGGGCCCCTTTCTCCGTCCTCCGCTTTTCTTTTCAACTGCCGTCTTGGCCATGTCGTCCGAATAGCTTAAGCCCTCGCCTCGACGCACTTTTCACCCTGTGGCATCTTGTAGTTACCGTAGATACTGCGAGAGGGACGCGCCATCGAAACCAAGATGCGGCCACATTAAGCTCTATGCGGCCAAACTTCTTCTTCCGCCACGCGTCACTACCCGACCAACAGGTTCTCCGCATCGCATCGCCGCGAACGTGTTCAGAAACAAGCATCGACACTGACCTCAATCCGAACCTTCGTCTGCGTTTCCCCCAGTTTGCGGGCATGAGACGCTGCCTTCTCTGCGTATGGGTAGCACACACCGCAGGACGCACGCAGCGGGGAGCCCTAAAGCCAAATGGCATCAGCCCTGCTTACCCGCGTTTGGGGCTGAGCTTCCCCCCACTCGTCTGATGTGCAAAAAGTCTAGACAATCGTCGAGTCTGCCCCCAGGACTTGCGATGTCACGCTGTCCACGCAAGCCACCTCATGGCGCGTCTCCAGCATCACGGCGAGCGCCGCACCCTCTGGGATCCGCTGAGTTGCGGATGGCCACAACCCGATCTCCAGAGGATGAACGGCTTGGTCTCGTCTCGGCCGTGTCTCCGCTGTCTTCTTTGCCGTCTGACGCTATCCACATGGACTGTCAAGTCCCAATCCAGGCCAAATGATGTGAGCAGGAAACCTGTTGTATCGTCGCATCGTGCATCCATAAAACCCTTGGATTCTTGGTCTACCTAGTTGGTCCCCTCGTCCAAGGACCCCCTACCTTACTCCGTGTAGCCTCAGACTTTTGCGTCAACCCCTGGCTCGCCCGGCCGTGCGGTTTGCCAATGTAGATCGAGTCACGCCGAGGCGAGCGACGGTCGTGCAGAACCATTGGTCACCCGGGATCGCTGGACGATGCCTCTGAGGCTACGACGGCTTGCCGCGATCCGAAGTCTGTTTGCCGCACAACGGACGACGAAGCACGGTCCCGCTGCCGATTGTTATTTCGTCAATGGTCAGCGGCAGCAACTCGATCGATGCCTCGGCTGTCGTAGCCCGTAGGTTGTTGCTGCAGAGCCACTCGCAGCCCCGTAACATGTCGCCGTCATTGGTATTCCCCTCAAACAAACACACTGAAGGCGAAACTTGTGAGAGGGGAATCTCTGTCGGCCATTTTTATCACTTTACCAAGCGGCCCGTCACTGGACGCAAGGCCGACCTTGTCTCTCACGGCCATCGGCTGCACTCCTTTTATATTACCATGTGGGCCTCGACACCCGCTCGGCTAGCCGATGCCCGTCGGTTCCCGGATCGCGGAACCTGTCCCTCTGATCGTCGCATCACTGCTGAGCCGTTCTGAGAATTCCTTGGGTCTCGATTGCCGAGGTGTGCTACTTGCGGAAGGCCTCCAGCTTGGCTAAGCGGCCATGCACAACACACTCTGAATTCACTTGTTTTCGCCCTGCATCGTTCCGGACCCTGGAAAGAGTTAAAACCTTGCATTACTCGCCTGTAAACCTGAGTGTGCGGGAGATGCCAGCGGGTCCGTTCCATGCCGTGATGAGCAGACAATCTTAACAGCTTATCTATTGTCTGAGGTCAGATGAATGGGGTGCAGTTGGAAAGGAGCTTAATCTTACTACTACCCTTCCTCTGCAGATCAATCTTTGGTGGCTCACGCACGGCTCCAATGTCAAACCGTGATCGAGAACACTTGGTGAGATCGAAAATTGCTGTATCAAGTCTGCACACAAGCTCGGTGGCACATGCAACACACGTTTTGTTTGGGCAATAGGTACTACCTCACACACTATTGTAAGAGTTGGCATAAATCCTGTGCAAAAGCTCGCGCCATCCAAGCCCCCCGGACCCCATTCTCCCACTCCCGCGCCGAACCCGCGTGGGTTGCTAATTAAGCGCCGATGGTGGCCGCAGCCAGTAACGGTCTTGAACCGCATGGACTTGCCGGATGTGGCAGTAGATCATCCTTGGGGATGACGGGTTCTCCAACTGCTTGGAGAACACCACAAGCGATGAGCACTGGATTGGACGTCTTTATGTGTACCCCGCCATTTCGGTCGAGGAATCGGCCTCCGCCCCGCCATTGTGAGATGTCTCTCAAGCGGGCGAGCACGATGACCATGTCGAGCAATTCGCCAGCAGGATGTCTGCGTCCACCGCCGGGTTTACTTTGGACAGCGCAACAAGCTGCACGTGTGTAATCACCTGTCGCAGCATTTCTCAATCAATGTCGGAACCGTAGCGGGCTGGAAGGGTCCTATCATCGGAGGGCTGCAACACCCCCCGCATTGCATCTTAGCCGCCGTTGAATGATAGATAAGAAGGATACTGGCCACCGGTGTCCTCGATTGAATTCTTTCACTTGATCAAATCGAATCTTGAACCAGTCCTCCCTCCTGCTCCGAAATGACTCCTCATCCCTTGACAGCTTTGTCCGAGGACGAGTTCAAGATAGCACGGGACGTCGTGACGAAGCTTCATGCCTCGGACTTTTCTCTCTTCTTTCGAGCAATCTTCTTGCAGGAACCCAAGAAGGCCGAGCTGGTGCCGTTCCTCCAGGCGGAGCATGCGGGCAGCATCACAGACGCGACACCCCGGCCCCCGCGCCGCGCGAGACTCCAGTACGATGTCATCAAGCCCGGCAAGCTGCCCGAGTACACCCAGTCTGTCGTAGACTTGAAGTCACGCAAGGAAGTCGAGAGGACTGTTGCGGAGCCACACTGCCAGACCGGCTACATTCCGTAATGCTTCCCCCCCAAACCGCTCAACGGGATTCTGACTGATTCCACATAGTGATGAGTTTGGCGCCTTCCAAGACGCCTGCGTAGCGTCCCAGCTCTTCAAAGATGCCATGGCCGAGTATTCGCTCCCCGAGAACTTCACCGTCTGCATAGACCCTTGGCCATACGGAGGTCCAGACGAAGGGGAGAACATCCCGCGCTACATGCAAGGCCTCGTCTTCGCGCGGGACGCCTCCAAGAACAATCTTGATTCGAACCACTACGGCTACCCAATCCCCATCATCCCCGTCATGGACTTCACCACCAAAGAGATTGTCCGCGTCGACCGCCTCGCCACGGGCGGCGCAGACGACGGCCTCGATCCCCACCCGCCCTCATCCAAACCAAAGCCCCTCTTCACCAACGCCAAGTCCTCCGCCGCCGAATACGTGCCCGAGCTGCTCGACATCCCGCTGCGCGCGGACCTGAAACCCATCAACATCACCCAGCCTGAGGGCGCCTCCTTCAAGATTCACGGCGACAACCTCATCGAGTGGCAAAAATGGCGGTTCCGCCTCGGCTTCACGCCGCGCGAGGGCGCCGTCCTGCACGACCTCTGCTACGACGGCCGCCCCGTGCTCTACCGCCTGAGCTACAGCGAGTTGACGGTGCCGTACGGCGACCCGCGCCCGCCGTTCCAGCGCAAGCAGGCCTTTGACCTCGGCGACGGCGGCTTCGGGCGCGCCGCCAACAACCTCGAGCTCGGGTGCGACTGCCTCGGCGCGATCCACTACCTCGACGCCGTGCTCGCGGATACCGCGGGGAACCCGACGCTGGCCAAGGCGGTGGCGTGCCTCCACGAGCAGGACAACGGCATCGGGTGGAAGCACACCAACTTCCGGACGAACCGCGCCGTCGTCACCCGGCTGCGCGAGTTCGTCGTGCAGTGCATCGTCACGCTGGCCAACTACGAGTACGTGTTCGCATACAAGCTCGACACGGCGGGGGGCATCACGCTCGAAACGCGCGCGACGGGCATCATGAGTGTCGTGGCCATGGACGAGGGCAAGACCGAGTCCCCGTACGGCGCCGTCGTGGCCCCCGGCGTGCTGGCGCAGAACCACCAGCACATCTTTGCCGTGCGCATCGACCCGGCCATCGACTCGTACGCCGACGGGGACACGCGCGTCGTCGTCGAGGAGAGCGTGCCGGCGCCGATGGACGCCGCGACGAACCCGTACGGCAACTACTACGAGATCCGGAAGCGGGTGGTTGACAAGGCGAGCTGGATCGACGCGGAGCCGCGGCTGAACCGGGTGATCAAGTTCGAGAACAAGACGAAGAAGAACGCCATGTCGGGGCGCAACGTTGGCTTCAAGCTCACGCCATCGGCGTCGCAGCTGCTGCTGGCGGATGAGGAGAGCCAAGTGTCCAAGCGGGCCAAGTTTGCGAGGCACCACGTCTGGGTCACGGGGTATAGAGATGACGAGTTCTGGGCCGCGGGTGAGTTTACGAACCAGAGCACCGAGGAGGTTGGCGGGGTATGGGATATGGTTGCGAGAGGGGATTGGTTTGGTGACGGCAACGAGACGAGCCGTAACGGCAGCACAGAAGGTGAGGGGAGGAAGTGTAGTCCTGTTGTCTGGAGCGTGTTCGGGTTGACGCATAACCCGCGCGTTGAGGATTGGCCTGTGATGTGAGTCTTTCCACCCCGTTTCCTTATAACCCCTTCCCTTCTACATTGTCATGATTCACTGTCCTCTACAACCTGTTACCGAGGTATATCAACTGACTTGGACCACGAAACCAAGGCCCGTCGAGATTCATCACATGAACATCCGCCCCGCCGACTTCTTCACCGCAAACCCGGCACTGGACATGCCGGGCAGCAAGAACAAGGCGAGCGTCATTGTACCATGCTGCGGGCAGCAGAACGGCGCGGGTGGTACGAATGGGGACTGGGAGAGTAACCAAGGGGTGCAGAAGGCGGCGTTGACGCATCTTCAGGGGCCCGGACCGGATATTCCTGCTGAGGAGGCGGGGGCACATGTTGAAATGAGGAAATAGGGAAACATCAAAGAGAGAGCCGGGTAAAAGCATCGGGGTCGTATAGACATTCTCGGATTTTGATCCTGAATACTTAGTTTCTGATGGGTCTTCCGAGTAATGAAAAGAAGAAACACACGGCAAACTTCTAAGTGTCATACTAATGGTCAAGGTTGATCGCGCGAGTTCGTTAACTGGTAAGTCTGCTTCTGCTTCAAACCACATGGATATAGTATTTCTAGAGACCAAAACTTCTACTGAACAACGATTTGATAGTCTTCTCGTTGTTGTTGAACTACTTTGGGGCAGGGCGCGGTGTTGGCAACACGAAACAATAGGCTCAGTAGCTGTTTAAGAAGAAACCATAATTACTGAAGATAACAATGACATGTCAGATAAATAAATGCAATAGTTGTTTGGGCCTGTACCCAGCCATGGCCACAGTCGCAACCTGCTTTGGTTTGCAAGTACTCAAGCACAAATAGGCATTCATGCTTGAAGAGTCACCAAGAGCAGCGTCTAATAAACCTCACTGTGCCGTTTTCGAGGCAAGGGTCTGTTCTGGGGCAACACGAAACGATGTTATAGGTTCTTCGGAAGGAAGATAGATGGGAGCGGACTGGGCCAGAAACATTGCAACTGCTTTAGTGAAACAGTGTTTCTGGTATCCAACACAAGCTTCTCACTCAAAGAAGGTCAACTTCTCTTTCAGATACTTTCTGCTTACATAGACTTCCAAGCGTGACACAGTTTTGCTAATAAGCATTCAAGAAGTTGTCTAGTGAGAAACAAATCCAGCCTCCCAGTTGCTTATCTCTAGTTACTATCAAATTTCTTGGGGTCTGACATTGGGGGAAATTGAAGGAAGTATAGATGGTTTACCAAAATCAACCAAATAAAATAGAAGCAACCAAACCCCAAAGGCACTTTGCGCGAAGCGCTTCTCTCAGCTATCGCGGGGCTGCAGCGCACTACTTTACTCGCCGTCTTGAACGCTGATATTGGCGCCCTTCTCGAGGAGCAGCTGGACGATTTCTTCGTCTCCTCCAACTGACGCAGCCTGCAGCGCATTGCCGAACACGCCGCCCTGCGCGTTAACGTCAGCGCCGTATTCAAGGAGTAGCTTCACAATCTTTTGGTTTTTCGCCCACGAAACACAAGCGGCCTGCAGCGTATTGCCATACCGGCCGCCTTGCAGGTTAACGTCGGCGCCACTATCGAGGAGTAGCTGAACGATCTCTTGATGGTTACAGTATGAGGCAGCTTGCAGAGCACTGCCGAATACACCGGCCTGCGCGTTAATGTCAGTGCCGTATTCCAAGAGCTGCTTTTCAATCTTTTGGTCTTTCCCCCACGCAACACAAGCGGCCTGCAGCGCATTGCCATGCTGGCTGCCTTGTGCGTTGACTTCAGCACCCGCCTCAAGGAGCAGCTGGACAATATCTTGTTGTCCTCTAGCTGACGTAACCTGCAGCGCATTGCCATACTCACCGCCTTGTGCGTTAACGTCAGCGCCTGCTTCAAGGAGCAGTTGGACAATTTCTGGGTTCCCTCTCTCTAAAGCACAAGCGGCCTGTAGAGCATTGCCATAAAAGCCGCCTTGTGCATTAACATCAGCGCCTGCCTCAAGGAGCAACTGAACAATCTGCTGGTGTCCTTGTATTGAAGCAGCCTGCAGCGCATTGCCATACTCACCGCCTTGTGCGTTAACGTCAGCGCCTGCTTCAAGGAGCAGTTGGACAATTTCTGGGTTCCCTCTCTCTAAAGCACAAGCGGCCTGTAGAGTATTGCCATAAAAGCCGCCTTGTGCATTAACGTCAGCGCCTGCATTAAGGAGCAGCTGAACGATCTGTTGGTATCCCTTTGTTGAAGCGATCTGTAGTGCGCTCCCGTACTTGCCGCTTTGCGTGTTGACATTTGCGCCTGCCTCAAGGAGCAGCTGAACGATCTGTTGGTGTCCCTTTGTTGAAGCGACCTGTAGTGCGCTGCCGTACTTGCCGCCTTGTGCGTTGACATCAGAAATCTCTGCGATGGCTCTTAGGAGGTTCGGGAGCGCGTTCAACGCTAATGTGTAGAGGAGTCCTGCATCGACTTCGTTATGGAGCAGGTATTCCTTCCTGAGGTCATTGACGACAAGAAACAGTCTCCACCATTGGAACCAGCAATTTGACTCTCGTAGCCACTGGAAAATGTCGGAAAGATTAGAGGAACCTTCCCCACGCTCTGCCTGCTTGTCCTCTCGGGTCGTTATGTTCCTCGTCAATGCTATTTCTGCATGGTAAAGAATATGGCTCGCTGCATACTCTAGGAAGGGGTCCTTGTCTTTAGATTCTCTAATGTGCTGCCAACTGATGGATGTGGTGTCCACCTGCTTCATACTGGACCAGCAGCAAGCCCAGAGTCGGCTGTGGCTGGCCGCGACAGGCTCAGGACCTAGGCTCGGGTCCAGAGTCTGCAACCTCTTCTGTCGGAAAAGGAAGTCGCTGACCGATAGATGAACAAATTGGACAAGCTCAGACTCGCCACTTCGTACCTCGATTAAGCCCTTTGACGACGTTGTGATCCGTCGCTGGATTATGTCGATAGTGGGAGGAGCGATTCCTACTACGGCGGCGAAGAGTTCTTGAGCTCGGAGCGGTCGCTGGCTGAGTAGTACCCATTGAAGCATAAGGACCGTTTCGGCCCCGTCTGAGACGTCTTTGCCGAGAAGGGTGGAAAATATCCTTTCGAGATCGCCTGGGATTTCCTCTAGAGTCTTCCGCATCGCTTCGACCCGGCCTTCATCGTAGGCCTTGTTTAACAGGGACACAACAATGACGACCCATAAGAAAACACTGTCGGCCTTTTTTCGGATCTCATCCTCAATCTTGGTATCTCGTACTCTCGTCTTCTCTCTGATGTACGTGGCGATATCTTTTTGGTGATATGGACTCGTTTCTACCGCTAATTCGAGAACCTTCTCCATTCGGATGCTAGGGTAATGGCGACTCGACAGGCATATCCGTAGCGGGAGGTTTTCTAGAGTGGCATCGATACTGAGCGACTCGAGAAAAGCTACAACATCGCGAACCTCAGACTCATCACACTCGTCAAGAGCGTCAATAAGAAGAAGTAAAGGCTTTGTCTGTAGCTGCTTGACGACCAAGCGTAAAAAATCTTTCAGTTCTGATTGACGCCACTGGCAGTCACCTCCCCGGCCTGTCCTTTGCTTCTCGCGGAACAACGGGATGAAATGTCCATAGAGGATGTCATCATTTTTGAGGATCTGGTATACAATGGACCGCAGCATGCCGAGTGGTGTCTTCTCGAGCGACTCGCCTTGGGCGTTAAAGAAGAAGGCGACGATGAGGTGGTCACGAAAGAAGTCATTCCGGTAGCGGAAGAGTGCGTGCTTCATTAGCGTCGACTTCCCCGCGCCCGGTTTGCCTTTGATCCAGAGCACTCCATTGTGGGTAGGAAGAGATGTCAGGTTCCTCCACTGTTGAAACTCGCGAGTGTCGAACAGCCAGTCGCAGGTGTGTCGATGAGCAGGAGCGATGTCGTCGTGTCGAGCGTGGATGTCATTGAATGCCAGAGACTGAAGGCAAGCTGTAGCCTGTTAGCAGCAGTCAAGCGCAAATAACATCTGGGCACTGTAGCGATCACCTTCTCTTTCAGCCTGTTGCTTTTTAATTGCTTCCGCTCGAGGATCTTGAGGCGTGGCTGCTCATGTTAGTAATGGATAACTTGGACGGAATCGGGTAATTTGGTCGACCTACCTCCATGTATCGTGCAGTTGTTGAACTGCGTACCGGTACGGTCGTTGTTGTACTGCGATGCGCTATCTGCCGCAATGTTTTGGGCCCCGGTGCCATGGTTGGCAGCACCGTCCGGGATCATTCCAAGCAGGAGCTGCGCCGGCGAGATGCCGGTGCGGTGTTTGGACGACAGACCGAATCTCATCTTTGACTCAACTCTGACGGGAAGAGCACGAAGGCTAGAAGCATGATAATGGATGCAAACCGACTGTCACGATGGCAATTTCTAAATCAGCAGCAGCAAGTGTCTAGATCAGCAGGCTGAGTACAATATTGGTAGCTTCACCTTCTTTATTCCGTGTCTGCTGACCAGGCTGCATGGTAGGCACACAGCCTGCCGAATTAGCGCGGTCTTGGCGGCGGCTATTGATATGCATCAACAGAGGAGTGGAAAACGCTAGTCGACGTTGAGTCTGTCGGTGGGGGCGTACCGCCCCAGCACAGCTCTCATTACCGTCGCCGCCGTGGCTGCTGCATATGGCTGCCATTTCTTATTCTTGTGACTGTCGGCGTAGTCACAAACTCCCTTGATAACGATGCATGGCACTTCGTCCCAGGCCCCAGCACCTTCCATCTCGAAGGCAATCACATTGTGCTGAGCCGCAACGCGGTCGCGGTGTTCGCCCGACTTCATCACCGTATCGCCGGATGCTATGCGGCCGATGTGAACCTCGGGGCACTGCATGTCGTCTGGCGCTTGGTTCTGCTTAGTCTCCAGACGCCCTCTAGGCACCAACTGATTCTCGTCGCAACGGAGTTCGGCACAAGACGCCCCAGCAGCTCCCTCGCAGAAGCCATCCGACTCTGCGCTGCAGATGCTGCACGGCCGCGGTGCGCGGTGTCTATGTTGATAGGTTGCTGCGAACAGCTTGTCTTCGGCCACACCAGGATACTGATAATCGCATCGACGACGCTGGCGCACCGCTGCACTCTGTAGCTGATTTAGATATACTCCAGCCTTCTCCTGCAGACGCTGTCTTCCCATTTCCGTCTCGAAACTAGCGACCAGGCTGCGAATCTCTTTGACCGGCCGGCCAAGGTTGTCGTCGACGGTATCTTTGGTGACAAATGCGCCGGGGTATTGCTTGCCCAAGCCGTGCTGAATGGTCTTGCTGATAATCACGTCGCCGAGCAGCACCTCGTTGGGGCCCGTGCCCGGCACGCCACCACATACCCCCACAAGGAAGGCAAGCTTCAGACGAGGAAAGCTCGATCGCACGCCTGCCGCCGCCCCTGCCGCTGCCGCAGTGCCCATATTAGGAAGCAATGCCAGCACGACATCATACTTACCGATACGGCCCATGGTATACGTGTTGGTATCCCCGGGCGCGCGGCCGTATTGCTCTTCCTCTTCGTCCCAGAACTGATCGAACAGGAGAGACACGGCGTCGTATTCGAGTGGCAAGGCGCATATGATGGCGATTTCAAAACCTTCGCGACGTGACGGTTGGCCGTGGCTCGGCATGGGAATCCCAACCTTGTCGTTCCTTTGGCCCTGGAGAGAGACTGCCTCGAATTAGCAATGCATGGTCCATCACATCTTGAATTTCAGGGGTCGTACAGCCATGGATGGTGCTATTGTTGAATTGCGAGCCGTTGCCATTGTTGTTGTACTGAGACCCATTCCCCGCAGCCACGTTCTGGGCACCAGAACCAGAGTTGGTGATGGAGATGTTTGAAGACATGATCACTGATACAGCGGATTTTCTCCAATTGGAAAATTCAATTCCTAGGTTTTGTACAGACTTGGTCGTGATGCGATGTGCTTTGATGATTAGTTACTGATGCCTGCATACACGATACACGGCCAAAAGTTGGGAGCTGTGGCCGGCCAGTACAAATAGCCGCCGAGGTTTCCCGCCGCGAACTTGCATGTCAGTCATTTTCGATAAGCCTGGTCATTTTGGTAAATGGAAAAACTCGTGTCCATTGGTAATTGGCTCTTCGGAGGGCGGCAGAAGGCATAACCAGCCAGGGTAATGGTAGCATTTGGCTCGCACTTAACGCAGCCTGATCTACTGCCCACTTTATTTATGATATGGTAGTTGAACTTGATTTCAACTCCGTTCCCTTTCCTGTCTTGTTATCCATCTTCACATCTCTCCGTGGCTTTTTCTGCCTTTGGTAAGTAGATTATGGTTCGGCATACGGAAGTCCAACTACCAGTGTAAATGTACTGACTGGTGAGATGTCATTGAAATAGCCGTTCTAGTCAGTATCCACTCATTCTAATTGCTAGCCTTCTCGACATGCCGGGCCCTCAGGCTACTCAAGTCTTGTCCTCTACTAGAGCTGCTATTTCAAGTCTTAAAGGTATCGAGGAAGACCATGGTGACCTCAACGATGTTGAAGAGCTCCCTGCAGCTTTTGCACAAGTCGCCAAGCACCTGCCGGCTGTCTGCAAGGCACTACAATCTGCCCGGCTACACATACAGAAAAGGGAAGACGACAATACCTGGGCAGAGATGAAGAAGCCTATGGATGGATGCAAGGCGAAAGCCGATCGTTTAGAGGGAGTCTATGGAAAGGTTGTGCCATCTGCCCCCGCGCAGAAGATGGAGCGCTACCGCGAAGCTGTGAGTGGGCTAGGCAAAGAGGGACGCGTGGAGGTTTTGATGGAAGCCATACTGCGAGACGTTAAGGGTTTATTGACAGTGGACGGGGGGATGGAAGCGGCAACCGAATCGGATCTCCGCGAGCTGGCTGATATCACGGCAGAAGTGCTAGCAATTCCACCATCACTGCAGGGTGATGGCTCAGCTTTAGGTATCCACAACTACGGCCCCGGCCCTCAGAACGTCGTTACAGGCGACGGGCACCAGTACAACAACAATAACACCGGCAATCAGTTCAACGGAAGCACATTCCACGGCGTCAATCCTTTCAGCCGGGAGTAACACAGGCGATGGTTTTGATATTGGCCTGGAGTGTGGTAGGGCTTCACACTTCGTGTCATATCATGGTGTTAATTGCGGAACTAGAAGGGGCTGTCTTTTGCTTACTTGTGACAGCATGCTTTGTCTTTAAAACACCTATGAAGCCTGTGAGATGAACGACTAGTGCGCTGGAGAGCCTCATGACACTCCACTCCGAAAAATATTAAGCTTAGCACTGTTGCCCATTAGCTGCCAAATTATTTTGAAAAAATCTAAGTGTCCTGCAGCCGCTGCTTACTCCCTCCAAATCTCGTAAGCACGTAACGAGAAGGTCAACGTTATGATCCATAACGTTATCAAAGGGGCCTCAGCTAGGTGAATGACCAATACGCCGACGTTGATTAGGAATATTCCACCATTACCGGGGTGTGTATGGTTCTCTGATCAAGGTAGTCAACCTACATACATCCATATTCAGCCTGACAAGTTTGCGAGACACCTGTATAATCCTGCATGCTTTAATGCTTTCCAACATCAAGACAATTTATAGCCCAGAATGGCCGCAGTAGAGAGGCTACAGATTAGAAAGCAATGAAAACCATTTGTCACCCTCAGCCGCGTTTCTGCGGCGCAGTTGATGGGTTTGGAGAGCGTCTGTATCTCAGAGTGACCCGGTTTATGCGTCCAAGTTTCTCGATTCTCAAGGTCTTGTCTCGTGGCTCAAGCCTCCACGCTCTTGCTCCTCGTCCCAGCTACTGTCCGCCACAGACTTGAAGCTTCCCAACAAACACACATCTGAGCCTTCAGCCACCTCCTCAACATGTCCACTGTTGTACTCATCACTGGAGCCAACCGGGGCCTCGGCAAGGGTCTCCTTGAGCGATACCTACAGCTGCCCAACTACACCATCATCGCAGCCAACCGCAACCCGGACCACCCAACATCCAAGGACCTCTCTAAGCTCCCCACGGCTGACGGCACAAAACTCATCGTAGTCAAGCTTGACGCTAGAGTGTGGGAGGATGCTTTCAGCGCCGTGAAGTTGCTCGAGTCCCAGGGTATTGACCACATTGATATTGTTATTGCCAATGCTGGCGTGGCCTACACGTGGCCTACAGTCGCCGAGGTCAAGCTCGAGGACCTCGTCGCCCACGTCGAACCCAACGCCTATGGCGTCGTGTCACTTTACCAGGCCACCCGCCCACTGCTGCAAAAGTCCAAGAGAGAGCCCATCTACGCCATTATGGGGACCACTGCTGGAAGTTTGAAGTGAGTCGACATCTACCCAAAGAAGTCCCATTACCAGCTTAGGGTTGGTCGCTGATGTTGATACGCTCTGCAGCACCCAGCCCCAGCTTCCCAACGCCTGCTATGGTCCGTCCAAGTCGGCATCGGCCTGGTTCAGCATCCGTATCAACGAGGAGGATAGCTGGCTGCACTCATTCTCGCTGTCTCCTGGCTGGGTTCACACCGACCTGGGCGATGCAGGTGCGGTGGGCTTGGGTGTCGACAAGGCCACCCAGGACCAACTCATGATTGGAGTGGACGAGTCGTGCGACGGCATGATGAAGGTGCTTGCTGAGACGACCAAGGAGAAGCATGGTGGAAAACTGGTCCTTTACAGCGGTGGTACTATGCCCTTTTAAACTGACGGGCAACTTTCGACGGTTCTACATGTGTCATTGAAAGTCACACAGACGAGGAATTGGGTACACAGTATTGCTTTTAGATGTCCATTACATGAAGACAAAGAAAGGCAACATATCTTTTTTGAAAATGCGCAGATATGTGAGACCAGCATGTACCTTCATGCTGTAACACGAATTGCTACTGACCTTACAATATAACCTTTGAATTGTTATAGACGTGGTACTTCGTTTCTACAGTTCAGCGATTTAGTATCTTCTTAATCCTATACTGTAATGTTCTTTGTCTTAGAAAAGACGACGCAACTCAGATGGAAGGGGGTTACAAGCTTTCGACAGTCGTGTTGTACTCAATCCTTTACTAGTTGGGCGTGAAGAGAGGGTTTCAAAATGCCCGGTTCTTTCGCCACTAAGATATTCCCATAATACGCTAAACTCCGTGAGAAACTGACTCAAACTGAGCTATTGGGGCTGAAGAGATAAACGGAGAGTCCAGAATCTTGGCAATCTTGCACTCCCCTCACGACAGCCCAAGGAATGCATTAGACGTGCTACATAATGTTTGGGGCTTTCTGTGGGCCGTTGAGAATAATGTACATTAAGCTTAAAGATGATACTCATAATACTAAGTCACTATCCCCGTCTTGAAGGTAAATCAGAGAAGTAATCACATGGTTACTTGGTTGCTTGGAGAAGGCCGTTGAAGGCTGTTTTCGGGATTGGCAGCAGCTAGCGTGGCCAAGCCAAGGGCGTCGCCCGGTAGAAGATGCGATAGCGGGGGCATGATGGAGATGAATCGCGAGTTTGGCATAGGGCGACTGGCAGGATCAAGGTGGCCTAGCAAGACCGAGTCATTGCCTGATTCGGAGAGGTGGGCGCGACGGAGAGCGATCCCGGTCCAGCTTTCCCCGGAGCGATCTGGAGATCATTTGATCTAAAGGTGACAGATGTCACCGGCGCTTTGCAGCTTGCGTATCCGCACGGGCGGGTGCCCGACAAGATAACGATGAACCCGCTTATCACGCGGAATCACGTGTACGACAAACCAAGAGTGTTATGCAACTATCCAAGACATGCTACAACTCATCCAACATCAATTATTCTCGGTAACATGGATCAATTTCGGCGGTTGCCCCTATGCAACTAGTTTTTGCTACACCAGGACGTGGCACCTTGCCCTTCGGTCAAATTTGAGCCCCCAAGGGTCGAGTTCGTCTGTCGCCTTTAGTCTTCCCAGCTCTTTCGCAAAGATGAGCACCGAAAATGAACCAGCCAGCTCTAATGCGGCACCCTACAGCTTCACTCTCAAGGATCTGACAGCGTCCACATGGGTAGATCACTCTCTTGGCAGAACGGCTTACGGTATGAAGAATTCAGGCTTCCATCGCTGGGGATTCGTCATTTACAGGACAACGTACAACGATGACACGGCTTGCGAACGCTACCTCGAGGCGCTGAAGCTTACTGTACGATGCATTCTTGCAGACGAAGGAGGCGACGTGCTTCTTGAGCAGTACATGGACTGTAAGCAACCTTTTCTTTGCCCTTTTTTTGTGACACCATATTAACAACTCCAGGGCTGGTAATCTCTGATCAGGCCATGCTTGATGGAGCGTCTAAGGCCGACGTACGAAAGCACTTCAGATCCTGGTGCGCAGCCCGCAGCAAAGAGCGCGATGGTCCCGGCGCCACTAGATCTAAGACCAAACGGCTGCCGCGATTCAGGCACTGTGTGTATGTAGACCAGAAATGCCTCGATACGCTGGCCGCGTTGCCAGCCAACCAAGATGATGACCTGGGTGAACTTTCCAATGTCGTGGCCGTAGTCATTGATGGCGCTTTCGACAAGAGGACTCCTGGGGACGATGAGGGCTCGTACCCCGACATCGAGGGCTGCACTGAGCGCTACGTGGGCTGGAGGTATGAGGGCATTGACATGCTAGTCCATACGTACGAAGAGTCCCATAATTACCCTTTGAGCCACATCGACTACAAGCGGCCGCCTCTCATCTCGCCGAACGGATTGAGTTCAATGCCTGCCTGAGGTAGGCCGAGCTCACAGCTGGATTGTAAATCTTCTGGAAAGCAAAATTTATTAAATAGTATATTTGTGACTTCTCCTGGTGCCCGTTCCAACTTCCCAATCTTTAAGGAGAATCATTTATATCAGGCGGCGGTTGAATGTAATGCGTTTGATTTGCGAGTTCCTTAAAAATACTTTGAACACTAGCAGCATTGGGTAGCAGGTTGCCAGCCCGCTCGAGTTCGCCGAACCGCAACCGTATATTCAGGACACGATCCGCTAGCCAACCTCGTGTACTATCAGCAGCCTCACAGTACCAATTGCTGTCAAACCCCCGGTGAATAGCCGCGGCATCGCTCAAGGGTCTTCTAAGCCTTGCTATTGCTGTGACAGCATCTCGGAGTTCTCAGCGATTGCGTTGAACCGTCGGTAGCGCGCCTGGGTGGCTGATGTAACGGAATATATCAATGGACATCCACATATCCTCGAACAATCCATGTTGAGCCGTCACGCTTCCCCGCGCCGTATCTCGTAACAACCGTCGAAACCTTTCGGGCCCGATAGGCCTCGGTCGGAGTCCGACATCACTGGTCGGGTCCTCGTCTTCGTCAGAATCGGAGTCTGAGTCGAGTCTGAGTCGGACGAACCGCCATCAGAATCGCTGTCGCCATTTTGTTCGGGTGAAGGTTGACGCAGGCTGAAGATTCGCCCTTCATCTGGTTCATGACATACTCACAGAGTAAAAGTGGGAATCGGTTGCCCTGCGACCCAAGACGATCAAACAAGTAGCCATTGGGTGTCCGGATCGACTGACTGGATCCCGCACGGGGCATGGTGGCTGGCAGGACATTGGCGTTCCAGTTGTTCTCCAGATCAGGGCCGTGGATGGGGCCGTTACTCGTGGTCGAGCCGTTGGGGAGGATGCCGGTGGCCATGGGTCCTAACAAAATCACGGATGTATTGCGCGTCGGGGTTGTGCTCCGTGTCGTAGGTAGCTCGGACGTGCTGAGAGCTCATTGTGGTTCTGTCCAGGACCTCGATTTCGGTCGAACGGCAATCATTCTGCACCATCCTGAAGAAGCTGTTGCTGGCCGGGGTGCTTCCCGTAGGGTTTTGGAGGTTGCAGGAGCCTGGATAGCGTCTCATCTGCGACTCAAGTTGGAATTTTTCGACGATACCGTTGATGACCTACTACCAGCTCACCTTGAACGGTGTCCGCTTGCTGGCATGCTGGTCTAGAAGGGAGCGCATGTACTCCGCGTCGCAGAATTCTAGCTCGCACACATCTTCGTCAGAGTAATCATCCGCGTACGGGTCCTCGTCGCAGCTGTAATCGGAGCCTGGGTATTCACAAAGTCTTCTGCCACATAAGGGTGTGTCGAAGACATTGTCGTTGGGCGTGCAGCAGAGCGCCTTTTTCCGGCCCAGAGACAGTCCACGAGGCTGTCTCCCTGCGTATCGGTGCGCAACGTCACCTCATTGGCCGAGCATGTGTTATCTGCGCAGTCTCCCTGGCCGACCCAGTGGCAGCTTCGAAGTGGCGGTTGAAAAGACTCGCAGCAGTAGTGTGACATGTATTTGAAAATATTGCAGCTCTGATCGGGTGAGCTAACAGCTGTTGCAATGTCATGCTCATCACTTTTGCAGCTTTCTTCGCTGTTTATTTATTAGTAAGAACCAACATCAATAGGAGAGTTCCTTGTAGACTTACCAACCACTCCAGTAGCACTGAGCAGTCAACTTGTCGTAACTGTCCATACTGCAGCAAAAGTACTTGTAGCCTCGGCTACATTGGTTGTTGTTGCCACCTGACTCAACTGGCCAGCCACCGTCTCCAGACTTGTATAGGGTAACCTCACCCTCGTGGCATTGCCCGTTGCAGTCACCGCCGTTTCCTCTCCAGATGCACTTCTCCGGAGCGTCCGCTGCCTTGCAGCAGATCGGCTGACCCCAGGTACTACCAATACCGCTGCAAATGCTCTTGTCCCAGCCGACACGCTTGTAACTTTGACCACAGGCCTTAGAATACCCCAGCTTGTCAACGTCGTCCTCAATATCAACGCACTTTTCGCTACTGAAGCACGTCTGACTGAGATTGACCATACCAATATCACGGCCACCACCATCCTCACTGCCCTGGTCTCCAATGACTCTCTGCACGCACTTGTCAAATGGACAGTAGCCCCGTGAACAGGCAAACGCGCACAAGCCATGGCCGTCGTCCCTGATGGTGCCGGCCAGGAGGTCGACGGTGGGATTCAGCCAGTCGAGCTCGCCCTGACTCAAACATGTGCAGGCAGCAATAGGGCAATACCCATGCCTACAGGTGAAGCTGCAGAGCGCGGCGAGGTCACCAGGGCCGGTGCCTGATACACACGCTGGGGCTGGAAAGGTGACACCATGGGCTCGATCAACGACTGTTGCGTAAGGCCACAGGCCTCCTCTGGACAGAACCCATACGGGCAGGCTGATGAACAAAGGCCGGCATAAATGGAGCCTCTGCCCTTGATAGCGTATCCCGGGGACCCAGTTCCGTTGGGATACTCGAACTCCGTGCCCAGGGCAGTGCAGACGCAGGCGTCCTTGAGGCAGTACCCGTAACTGTAGGTGAACTTGCAGAGCCGATTAAAGTTCATTGGCTCCCCATCCCTCGATGCATATCTGGTTCGAAAGCGATGGCACCGTCACAATGCGTGACGCCGCCATCATCTTTCCACCCGTCGTGGGGTTGAAGTTGTGATAGCCGTCACTGCCGCAGCTCCGTCCGATGCCTGGGCCTGTCACGCTCATGATAGTCTTGCCGCCTCGGATAAGTCTGACTTCAACGCCGCCTTCTCTTCCGTCAAACGGCACGCTTCCATGGTAAATACCGGCACCGCTTTCTGGCTTGTTCCTCCATGTGCTCCTATACGCAGACCCGCCAATGACAACGTGCAACTCGGCCTCTTCCGTCAGCAGAACTGAGAAGAAGACCTCATCAGACACCAACTCAGAGGGTTTGTACTCTAGCTGGACCTGCGATGCCGTATTGCCTGTGGTGCCGCCGTCATTGCAGTCTTTGCGGTACACTCTGCGGTAGCAGAACTCAATACCTTCTTGCGTGATGGTGGCTGTGTTGTGCTTGTAGAGATCAATAGTGAAGGGCAAGAGAGTTCTCCAAGCGTCATGGGGACGGTCCAGGGCGTAGTTATAAGGGGACTTGCCTGTCTTGAAGGCCACGAGCGCATGGTCCCTAATGGGACCAATGTGATGGGACTCGCCGTAATCGTTCCATGAGATGATCTGCACCCACTCAGGCTGCAATCAATTCACCTGCACCCAACGGTCATACCAGGCGTGATCTCCGCGCCAGATCCAGTTCTTACCAAAGCCCGGCATGTTGGTATAAAACCAAGGAGAGACAGGCATCATATACAGCTTGCCGCCTAGGAACACATTGTACGACGCGTCGGTGTAGGTGTCCACATCATGGCCACCCCAGGCCCATGCGCCCCGGCTGAACAGTCCGTCAGCGACGCCTTCAGCACGTTCCATTGCCCTCTTAGCTCCATCGGAACTCCAGTCTGGTACGAAGAAGCAGCCTGTTTGAGCTTTGATATCAATCCAATCCTCCGCTTGTGCAGGGCCTTCAAAAGTTGACACGAAAGGCTTGCCCTCGTGGCGGAAGTGAGCTGGACTGCTGCTGTACTTCTGCAGCATCTCAATGACGACTTGTTTCTTCCACGGACCGTTGCCGGCGTAATCGAAACTGAAGAATAACTGAAAGCCAAGCTGTTCAGCCTTGGCAAAGACGGCCTTGACCGACTTGTCGTTCATTTCTTCGCCTTGTGCCATGTTGAGAGCAAAAGCGTCGATATGTGCCTCTTTCGCTTTGTTGATGTCGTCCGCCCAGTCTGAGTCCGTGTACTCCGCCGTATTGCCGACCTGATGTACGTCCAGATTAGAAAGTCGCTTCTTGGTTTCGTTCAGAATCATATCGTTTGACAAGGGATTCGTTCAACGTACCATGAAGTGAGCGAAGACCGCTTTAGCCCTCGCTTGGGAGGTCCATGACAGCAGCGCTATCACCAGCAAAAGAAGCCTCATCTTGCGGTAAAGTTAGACGCTTCAGCTCGCCGCGGTTTAGTGCTGTCAATGGCTGGAAAGATGATGAATATGGACCCCATTTGACCAGAAGGTCGAGCGATGACACTCATTTAAACCATGATGAACTCTATTCCCATCCGTTTACAAGTTAGAATTGTCCGAATGATTTGCCCCTCCGCCCATGATCCCCTCTCCTTCAGAAACCGCAATTTCCCCTTGAACCAGAGCGTTTGTCCTTTGCTAGCGAGGTCTACTATACTGCTATACCGCCCTCATGCAGAAGCGTGCGGTCGAACGGGTTCTGATGCATTGCAATTTCTTCAAGGTCACCACAATATTGGAAGTAGACAGGCCGCCTGCGGTGAGAGATATGCTGTGCCGCCGGATGTGCTTGCAATTCTGAGTTAGCGTGATCCACTCGGTGTCTTCAGCGGGCCTACTATAGTAGGCTGTCTTGAATGCAATATCGAACCAACGACAAACAGAAAGTGGAACGACAGAACCAACAAAACGAGGTTAAAGCAAGACCCCTGAAGTCATCAAGATGTGCAGTAGGATATGGAGCTCTTGCGTGTGTCCATCGGGAGGAAGACCCATAAGACATGCAGGTTTTCTGTCAGCCTCGGCTAGAACGAGTAATGTGCCCAGCCAACAGGCTTGTCGCCACGACTTATAAGCTTGCGACCAGGGCTGCAAGAGTGGGTTGGCTGATTCTGAATGCACCGGCGACAGGGGCTCCAGGATCCAGCAGCGTTTCTGGATAGTCAAGGGGTCCAACGGATGAACCCGAAGCGTCCCGCGTGATGGTCGCGAGCGAGAGCCCTTATTAACCTGATTACTGGTGTCTTCGGACACCTTCCGCATACGAAAGATGGCATGTAGGCAGACCGTGATGCACTAGGAAGTCAATGGAAAAGAGGCACAGCAGGAAAGCGCGTTGAGCATGAGAAAATTCAACGGGGCGATAATTGACCATAACAAAACGGGAACCGCGGGTGAAATAGTTAAAACATCACGACTCCCCTCGATTCGAGTCAGGATCGTGGCCCATCGCGACATATCGACGTGGAGGCTGACCTTTCAAGTCTTGTTCTCAGTCTCTGCACCGATTGTGAAAGTTGAGATTCAACATCCATTCCTTTGTTATAGCACTGAAACTCGTCAATACCTTGTTTACACTCAGTTAAACACATACACGATCAATTGAAACAATGCTCAGCCCTGGAGTCTTTCTTCTCGTTTTGTGGTGTCTTGTGGTCCGTTTTCCTTTTGCTCAACAGTTTCCCACGATGAAGATGTCGTACGAGACGTTGAATCTCAGCGGCCTCTGCTTTGAGGCCCTGAACACCACCGTCAAGTGTTCTGACCGACTGGCCAAGCACATTGCGTGGGAGTATGTCTTAGCTAGAATTTCAATTCCTCAAAAGTCATATTACTAATCCTTCGTTTCGCAGCGCATCCAGTGTTGGCCTTCTCGACCGGGTCGGTCTAGCAGATGTCTGCGAGGACACATGCAGACAGTCACTCGTTGACCTACGCACAAAGATCTTAGGCTCCTGCGACACCAATACCGACACCATTCAGTATAGCTATCTGAACTTCCCGGCAACATACATTGTCGACAGATATTTGTACTTCTATGACGTCTCCTGCTACAAAGATAGCTCATCGGGAAAATTCTGCGATACTGTGGTGGCCGGCTGGCGCAACGAGACAGGTGGCTCCGAGGCGCACTATTGCGATGACTGCTGGCTAGGCCCCATGTCTGTTCAACTTAAATCGCCTATCGGTTTCAACAAATACCGCGCCCAAGAGTTTGCGTCATTGACTAGAAGCTGTTCCGTTGACGCCTACGCCAAACCCACCCCAACGCCGTATTGAGAGACAACTGCTACATTGAGGGACGCCATGACTGCGGTCCAGCCTTCAGCGCAGGATACCACGACAGCTATAACTACAGCCACTGAAGTGACCTCTGCCGAAGACATGACGCCGTCTATATATCCTCTCCTAGATATAGGCACTGCCGCCAGTGTCGACACTACAGATGGTAAGGAGAAGACAAGGGGGCAGCGGAGAAACCGTTCGAAGAAGGCCTTGAAGCAGAGTATGGACCGACAGGCAAAGCCACGTGCGCCGGGTACCCTCGAAGATTGTCCTCAGTACCAGAGCTTTCTGCCCTTCGAACTGATTTACAGGAAGGCCGATCAGGGTCGGGGGGACCTGGATGACTTTGGTATCAACGGCTGCAGGTACACAGCAACCAAGTATGGTGTTAGTCGTGAGTAAACCTAGACAACGGTCGAATTAGTTGGGATGGTTCCAAAGAAGACAGCGCTAGCTCTCCGTTCTCAAGTGAAAAGTTTCTTAGTTTGGAACCCTAGCCTTGCCAATATGAAAGACTGCAAGCTCCAGCGGGGATATAGCTACTGCGTGCAGCGACCAATTTCATTGCCCAAGACTCAAATCAGTAAGTGACTACATTCCCCCCCTCACTCCATCTTCTATTTTGTGTTTTCAACCTTAATCCTCTTCCGTTCTCATTTTCTATTGCCCTTTTCATGTGTATTAGAACCCCGCCCGGAATGTGCCATGCTGACTTAGCAGTTGCTCCTGTTGCCTCGAATGCAACGACAGCGAACTCCACGGCGGCGGGTTTGAACCTAAGCTTTACATCACCCCAATGAACGAAAAGGATCCAACTCAGCCATGAGAGACACGGGCCCGGCAGCGCCGGTTTTTGGTCAGGCAACGATCAGACTTCGACTACATTCCTGGGTCAGTAGAGGACACTAACGTTACTTTTTGGGGCCTGGATCACCATCCGCATGTATGCGCTAGTTATTCCTCCCTTCAATAAGCCTCAAGGTGTGCAAATAAGTCCTTGGGGGAAGCTCGATGAAGTTTCCAAGCTTGTATAGCTCCGTCCCCCCTCCCCTTCCTGGAATTGTTGGCAAAAGGACGATTCCTGGGGGCAGCAGTGAGGGAAAGATGGGAATGTAGATAATTCGATGGGACAAACGGTCACACTTTGTAAGACAGAATAGACAATTTATGGTAAGCCTGGGAGTTGGTTATAGCTACCATGATCCTGGATTTTTTTGTTTCTTAAGTGATAGGCGGTCCATTGCTTTGATTTCGTCGAGGAGCCCATCATTGTCCAACCGCGTAGCCTGTCTCAAGCCTTGATGCAAATAGTTGACATAAGCCGCATTCTTCATAATAATTCAACTACCTTTTCAGACTACTATCTATAACACTGTAACTTCGTAATCCGTTGATTTGTACTCGTATAGCATCTATGCAATACCAACATCACCTTGATTCAAGCTATTAAGCTGTTGCTAGAAACTAGGCCCAGGTTCAACCTATTTTCTAATACTGCTATACTACAGATTATTCATTTTCGTCCTCTCTGCTCTGACCCTTCTATTCCAGAACAGAATGGCCTGCCAGCTGCAACAGACCGAGGGTCTAGTAATCGACTGCGCCCAACAGACATCTGCATGGCCAAAAGTTTTTTTGGCAACCAATAAGAATGACGGTGCATTTCTCTAGATACGTGACCCTGTTTATCTTACGTATTCAATGCACATCAATGGCATTTTGCTGCCGGTTAACGGAACGGGATATTGGGTGTGCTGTTGGATGCCTAGCAAAGACTTCATGACGCTATTTGTATTCCCATGCATGGACAGCTGACCCGACTTCGTGTATATCTACTAACATGGTCTACCCTCACCCACAGAACAAATGGTTGATTTCATAACTTCGCATCAAAACCAATCGACATGCTGACTAGACTACCACCAGAACTCCTAGACGATGTGATTTTGCAAGTACGGCATCCCCGATCATCTCCCTGTTGCACAGAAGCTAAAGCAAAGGACTCCAGCTACCTCTAACGAGTCTGAAATCACTTTCTCTAGTTTCGAGAGCAACTTACATCGCTGCTGTCCCTTTTCTTTGGCAGAATGTATGCATTCAGTTGGACAACGAACATGAACCTCACATAGCCAACTGTATGCCGAAGGTATATCTCTGTCACGTCAATTAAATCCGCTTTGATTCTAATCGTTTGCATGGGATCAAGTCCAGCTGTCCCCGTCAGGAGAATAGGGACAGAAGTAACTTTGGGTGGCTCGCTTACAGGATGAAAGCGCTGCTAGAAACTCTTCGATGGTGATCAACTACGCAGTCTCGAACATGTTTTCCAATTTGATCTTCACAAATCTGCATCTGCTAATATCAAAATAGCTGGCATGCTGACATGTGTCCCCCAAGAGGACTGTTGGGATGTGATGGGGTGGTCCCCCTTAAGCACTCTATGCTGCGATCCCTAAGGCTTGTAACGAACTGCAACTGTTATTTCGGCTATGGAGTCGATATCACTATCATTGACCTGTCTTCGTTTCCCCGTCTCACTAGTCTTGGATGGATCGCCCCAAACGCCCAAGATCTCGTCGCGCTGTCTTTCGCTGCCCTCGTCCACTCAAAGCGCCTCCAAAAGCTCGCACTAGACTTCATAGACTTGTCTCCTTTTCGACGGCACCTCGAGACAGGCGCTGGGTATGACTTTACCGTGACGGTTTCAGCTTCTTTGCCGTTCCATCTTGCAGCTGCCCCTCCACACCTCATCAAGGCCCCTTCTCCCGGTCCTCCGAACCCTCTCCCTCACGGAGGTTCCCCTCGGAGAAATGACGGCACGCGCATTCGACTTCGGTATTCTGGAGTCCCTCACTCTTCGGAAATGCGAGGATTGGGACGTTTTTCTGAAACAAGCTACGCAGTTCGGCAATGTCCCTGGGAGACTAAGACGCCTAGAAATCCAAGAAGGCAAACGGATGAATAACGTCGACCCTGTCATATGGGGCTTTTATGTTGCCTGCCACCGAGCCACCTTGAAAAGATTCGTACACCACTTCAGGACGATGGATATGTATAGCTCCGAAACGGGTTTACCTGACTTGAAGGTGGTGCACCGAGACCTGGACTTCATTGCATGCCACCCAGAGCGAAATCCCCTGATGAGGCTTGATCTGTAGTTCCTTGGCCTGGCATGCGCGCCGGAATACTTGGTAAGCATTTGTGGCTCTACTTCACCCATCCATCAGAAGTTCAAGAATCAAATGTCTAATTATTGAAAGAAACACATCGTACTTCCTTTCAGGTCAAAGTCCTCGTTGAAAGTCCTTCACATTCGCCAATCAGGCATTAATGTGCGTAGCCATTGGAACGATACCTTCGACGCCGTTCGCCTGGGCATGGATTATGCGCCCTCCTACATCGAAAGTCAAAGTCTCACGGGACAACCGAGTCAATTTGACTCTGTTAACTCACATCGACCGCGCCCCCACTTCCGCCGTCGGTTCCGCCACTTTGTAAACTGGGCTTTCGGGCCACAGGGTATACTTTCACTGAAGTACATTTCTTATGGGGACTTCGCCTACAACAGCCGGGCAGGCGACCATAATCTTCTTGTTCGCCGAAGCACAGGGGGGCTACGCGGTTTTCGGGTGTGTGTCAGGAATGATGCTGATTGGCTTGCTTGAAGAATATCGGGACATGCTCGAGGCATGTCCGACAGAACCGTTCATGCGCTTAGATTAACCGTTGTAGCTTACACTGCTATTGACAGTGCAACCAAAACACAGTTCAGCTACTTTTAACTTCACTCCGGTTCTGGTGAACCGTCCCAGAGCCCTCAACTGGGTTCTGGATCTACACTACATAGGCAGCCTGGGTTTTCAAGGATGTTTCTCACACTGTTTTGATTTGTTTGTTTTTTATTCCAATAGGACGTTGCGGGTGAGACTGAGTCGCGACTATGTATCGTCTTGCTCATTCAAAACCTTTGCTATTAGTCAACATGATACAACAGTAATGCTATTGGGGTTGAACGACCACATTGGTTTCTGGTACCGTAGCATGGGCTTCGAAATGTTCTAAAAGGTAAGACGTATTGGTAAAAAGTGTAAAGCATAAACAAAACAAGTTTGTCCTCGTCTCGGCGAGCTTTTAATCGCCTGCAAGGCAGAAACACTAAAAACAGAACGAGTAATCACCCCATCCTAAAATGTATATTCGCTACTATCTTTACATCTTCGACATTACCGATGACTATATAAGTATCTTCTCTAGAGTTAGCATTGACCACGATACCTGATTTACTGTATGATATCAACCGGTGATTTTGAATACAGCTTGTAATTCTTACTTTATATGCGTTTGCGCTAATGACGCCGTTAACCAGGTGCTGTCAACTACCGACTGCGGGCTTTCGTGTCTATGCACACCTCGTGTTATTACTGTTGGTCTCACAGGTTATAATACTTGTACGAATGATAGCAGCGGTCACGTCAAAGTGGTGATATTGCTGGCTGATTGCTGTATGGAGATGAGAAGTCGGTGAAGGATATGCCCTCGCTGTGGCTGAGTGGCTGACCCCACATTGCCAGACGTGGCTAACCGGACTGTGCCTCCCATCTCTCCCGTTGCCTCCGATTGCCCTTGTTCGAACAGTTACGAAAAGCCCGAAAGCACCTTTGAAATTGATCCTTCAGCTCAAGCTGGCCATATTTCTGGGTCTCAAAAGTTAAGTTCAGATAGTTTCAGATAGATTTAATATCAAAACGTCTCCGTGAATTTGAGTCATGACTCTCACTTTAATTACTTGAAGCCACGAATACCAAGACACTGTAGACTGTGTCCGCGAGGTGTAAAGGTGAGTCTCGTTCGACAACACTGATTGCAGGCAAATTCTCACCCTCCTCGGAACGACACATGCCTGTGGCAGATTTTGGAAAAAGGCGGGGACAACATATTTTAAGGGCAGCTCAGCTAAGGCGTCAGCGGACTAGACAAAGGCAAGGCCGATTCAATCTTGTCGATCTGTCGTTCCAGACATGCTTTACGAGTTGCTATAAAATAAGACTCAAAGAATGAGGGCCAACAGATCTCACTCGTCATCCAATTGTGCCAGGCAGGAGGAAAAAGAAAGAAAAAAAGGTGATACACAGAACATTGACACCCCCAGCAAGTAAGCAAATCATACAGGCAGTCAAGCCATTCCCCTTTACTGAAATTACTTATCAGTTCAATTCATTGATGGAAATGTGTTAATCTTCCTCTGATTGTCTTGAGTAGACGGGTTTATTGGCTTTTGGAGCGAGTTGCTGATATCGACGAGGGCCTGCAAGCTGAATTCAGTGAGCATGAACTGTCGCTTGATGCGGGATTCTGATTCAAGGCTTCTGCGGTAACAAATCTCTCACTTACCAAGTTTGAGA